GTAACTGTTAGAAGTGGATTAGGATATGAGTACAGATGACATGTAACTGTTAAAAGTCGATTAGGATACGATTACAGATGCAATGTAACTGTTAGAAGTGGATTAGGATATGAGTACAGATCACATGTAACTGTTAAAAGTGGATTAAGATACGACTACAGATGCAATGTAACTATTAGAAGTCGATTAGGATACGATTACAGATGCAATGTAACTGTTAGAAGTGGATTAGGATATGAGTACAGATCACATGTAACTGTTAAAAGTGGATTAAGATACGACTACAGATGCAATGTAACTTTTAGAAGTGGATTAGGATACGGTTACAGATGCAATGTAACTGTTAGAAGTGGATTAGGATACGGTTACAGATGCAATGTAACTGTTAGAAGTGGATTAGGATCCAACTAAGGATCACATGTAACTGTTGGCAGTGGATTAGGATATTACTATAGATCACATGTACCTGTTAGAAGTGGATTAGGATATGACTACAGATCATGTGTAACTGTTAGAAGTGGATTAGGATATGACTATAGATCATGTGTAACTGTTAGAAGTGGATTAGGATCCAACTAAGGATCACATGTAACTGTTAGCAGTGGATTAGGATATTACTATGGATCACATGTACCTGTTAGAAGTGGATTAGGATATGACTATAGATCATGTGTAACTGTTAGAAGTGGATTAGGATATGACTACAGGTGCAATGTAACTTTTAGAAGTGGATTAGGACACGATTGCAGATGCAATGTAACTTTTAGAAGTGGATTAGGACACGATTGCAGATGCAATGTAACTGTTAAAAGTGGATTAGGATCCAACTATGTATCCCATGTAACTATTAAAAGTGGATTAGGATATGAGTACAAATCACATGCAAATATTAGAAGTGGATTAGGATATGGCTACAGATCACACATAACTGTTAAAAGTGGATCAGGATATGGCTACAGATCACATGTAACTGTTAAAAGTGGATCAGGATATGGCTACAGATCACACAACTGTTAAAAGTGGATCAGGATATGACTACAGATCACACGTAACTGTTAAAAGTGGATCAGGATATGACTACAGATCACACGTAACTGTTAGAAGTGGATTAGGATATGGCTACAGATGCCATGTAATTGTTAGAAGTGGATTAGGACATGACTACAGATGCAATGTGACTTTTAGAAGTGGATAAGGACACGATTGCAGATGCAATGTAACTGTTAGAAGTGGATTAGGATATGGCTACAGATGCAATGTAACTTTTAGAAGTGGATTAGGACACGATTGCAGATGCAATGTAACTGTTAGAAGTGGATTAGGATATGGCTACAGATGCCGTGTAACTGTTAGAAGTGGGTT